GGGCTCGCTCTCAGGACCCTGAGATCATAACCTGAGCTGAAACCAAGAGTCAGACGCCAAACTGACTGAGCCACCCAGGCGCCCCCAGTTCTGCAGTTTCTTATAAAACTAAATACTTGTACTACAGGATGCAGGGAGTATGGGGGAGGATGAATAAGTAAAGGCGGGAGGATTTTTAGGGCAATCAGCTATTCTGGATGATACTCAAGGGTGGATAATATGTCATTATACATTTGTCAAAACCCATAGAAAATACAACACAAAGAGTGAACATTAATGTATCAGTATTGGCTTATCAATTATGACAAATGAACCACACTAACGCAAGACGCTAATTAACTGGGGAAATGTGAGGAGGAGGGGGGCAAAAGGGAACTTGGTACCATCTGCTTGACTTTCTTCTATAAAGCTCTAGAAAATAAAGTCCTATTTTTTTAAAGCAATGGACAAACATTAAAGAAATCTTATTTCTACTGCCACTCTTCCTCAACTGTCTATGCAAAGCTGGAAAGAAATTTTAATTTCCTTCCTCCTATCTATAAAGTTTTCCAGCAATGCCTGAGTGGCTCAGTTGGTTAAGTGTCTGCCTTGATTATGCCCTGTTTGTGCCCCCCACCTCTCTCTGACAAATAAATAAGTAAAACCTTTAAAAAAAAAATAAAATAAACTTTTCCATATCCACATCCATTTCTTCCCCGTAAATTTCAAAATATTTTTCTCGGGATGCCTGGGTGGCTCAGTTGGTTAAGCATCTGCGTTCGGCTCAGGTCATGATCCCAGAGTCCTGGGATCAAGTCCCGCATTGGGCTCCCTGTCGGCGGGGAGCCTGCTTCTCCCTCTGTCTGCTGCTCCCCCCGCCTGGGCTCTCTCTCTCTCTGACAAATAAATAAATAAAATATTTAAAAAATATATTTTTCTCTTCTGCTCACACCTAATTCTTCCCACTCTCTTCCCCCAGGACTCTGAAAGCTCTGCAACGCCTCCCTCCTCTACCTGCCCCTTCCCCAGTCTATAGCTTGCTCAAGTTTCTCCCATCCCCCCCAAAACAAAACCTTCCTTACACCCTGAATGCAACCTTCTTCAGGTCCTTTTCAAAAAAGATCTAGCCACTTTTTGACTTCCCATTCACTCCCTGATGTACTGCAATCTGACTTCCAAGTCCTACTACCCTGGCCTATTATCCCCATAAAGTCACCCTGGGCTTGGTATTTGTTAGTGTTTCCTCACTGCACCCCTGCAGCACCTGGCACTGTGGTCGCTTCCCCCTGACCTGCCCCAGCCCCACGCCAGGTGTGATTCTTTCCTAAATATTCTCCTCACTTATTAGATGTTACAACATGCCACAAGCCACACCCCATCCCATACTCCAGGCCTTCCCCTAGGGACTTCTTTCTGAGTCATCTATCTGTTGGTAACTACCAAATCTGCATGTCTAGCCCATATTTCTCCCTCATTTCATACATGTACAATCAATAGCCTGTTACACATCTCTACTTATGTCCACAGAAACCTAGACATTCTGTTCAACAACCACTTCCTCCTCTTGGAGAATCTGCTCTCCACAACTCATACATCTAGACTGCTCTATTTGTACCAAAGATTCCATCCCCCATCCCAGACTCAGCTCATCAGGTGGGAGGCTGACCCAGACCAATCAGATTTCCTCTCCTGAGAAATGGAATTGAGATCCAACAGTCTCAGTAGGGCACCTCAACTAGGAAATCATACACTGCCAAGGTCACATGCAAGTAAAAGAGAGAAAGCCAGTCAGCAGAAAGCCAAGAATGAAGGAGACAGTGCAGCCCAACACCAAGAGTAACCACCTTGATGCTAATGACTTGGTATCTGGGTACGTTTCTGTCCTTACATTCTTTGAGATACCATCATATTCTTCCCTTACACTTTTTCCCCCCTACTAAGCAATTTTCAGTGGATTTCTATACTTGTAATTGAATGGTCCCTAAGATATTCTTCTCTGCACTACAAGAAAGGAAAAACAAATATTACCCATGAACTATGTCATGCCACCAAGATGTATCCTGATTTCAGAAATATTAAAAAGTAGGAAACTGTGTAACTTAGAATCAGCGGAATCCAGTATATACTTACTCTGTGTATACCCTTCCACCCACTTAGAATACCCTTCTTGTTCCCCACCAACCCTAATTCTATCCATCCTTCAAGACTAAGCCCCAACCAGCTCTACCCTTTCCTGGACCAGCCCTAACACAAACCTAGAATGTAGTAACTATTCTCTACCATTAAATGACTTGTAATTGTTAAAGTCTTATCTCTCCAACAAGATTATAATGAGGGCATGGAAGTTTCCTTATTATGCTTCAGATGCTACACAGAGCCTTCACAAATAAACATTAAAGATATTCATTTAATTTGGAAAAAGAAAAGATGTATTCAAAAGGTGGCAATATTCAGTTTTCCACCAAGTTCAAGAAAGGAGGAAAATTACAAATAATTTAATACATGAAGGAAAGACCCTTATAACCTTTTAAATTAGGGGAAGGAATTACATTGTACCCAAAGAGAATTAAGGAAAATATGCATTTGTAGGTGCTCAACAATTTTGCCAGGAAACAAAATTAAAACTATAACTACAATGAAACTACATCCCCACCAGAATTGCCAAAATTAAAGGAGTGACAATAAGAAATGTTGAAAGGAAGTGAGGCCACAGACACCCTCAGACAATGCAGGTATGTGCACTAGAGCTAAGTGTGTGCATAACCCAGCATATGAGCGGCTGTGCCCTCCAGAAGACACCATAAAAACAATGCATCGACCATGCTGTTTTCATACAACGCAACAAAACAAGGAGAATGAACTCCACCTCTCAGAATGCGGACCCCAAAACAGGAACAAACTGTATGTGACTCCATTCACATGAAGTTCAACAGACAAAACTAACGAACAGTAACAGAGATCAAATAGCAATTATCTTTGGGAGAAGGAATATTGAATGGAAGGGAGCAGGAGGGAGCCTATGGAATGCTGGGAATGTTATTTCATTGGGGGGGGTGGTCACAAGGGTGCAGTCATTCGTAAAAATCCTTCCAGCTGAACCTGCAGTTGATTTCTCACCCAGATTCCAGGCCAGAGCACCCATCCCCCAGCCGCTGTGTGTTAACCACTATTGGCTCCTGAGTACCTTCCCAGGGCAACTGCCCTCAGCCAAGGGCCAGCAGTGTCACACTCCCACCCTCACCCCAAGGGTGGCCTGCAGCCAAAGACTAACTGATATGGGGGGGCAGACAGAATTACAAAATTCTAGCCCCCTTACCTCAAGAAGGGACAGTTCTGTGATGCCAGCCAAGGTCCCGAGTTCTTGGTGGGACTGGGCTACAGCTAGACTCCAAGCAAGAAGACCTTTCCCCTGCCCTCTCCTTCCCACCCCCCCCCAATTTCAGTTGCACCAAGGTCACCTCCTCAAGCTCTTCTAGGGACATGACCTAAGACACGTACAGTTAATGTTTAGTCTATACCTCAATCAAAAAGAAAAAAAAATTGTTTTGCACAGCTAAAAACAAGATGTGCAATCTCCCCGAGATTCTGATCAATAGATAAGAATTTCCTCAGACTAGAGTTGTGTTACTAGTTGAGAAAACAGCACCCAAGCAGGGCATGCAGGGGCCCTCCTGTCTATGAGAGAAGTCACAAGTGACATGGATTCTGAGGTGATGACCTGTCACCAGCTTGCTGTGAGCATGTGCAATCATTCATCTGCTCTCTACCTCACGTGTACCCTAGATCTGCCCGGTGGGCCCCAAGGCCTCTTCTACACTCCAAGGGCAGAAATACCTCTATCTCATTTGTAATTTTCATGACTACCCAAACCACTGAATGTTACCCATGCCAACCCTGCCATACCCGCACAGTACCTAGTTTTAGTACCTAGTTCTGCAGCCAGCTACCTTCAGCCAGCCACTACCATGCAAAACTCAAGGCTTGAAAGTTATCGGCACAGTTCTCTACCAACTCCCTACTGGGTTCCCTTCCGCTACCCTAGGAAACCATTACACACACACACACACACCCTGGGCCCGATTTTAAAGGGATGTTCCTACTTGAATTTGAGCATCCACCAAGGATTATATGTCAACCCAGTTATTTAAGTGTAACCTACAGAATATACTAATGAAGAAGCAAAAAAGAATATACAAAGCATTTAAAAGACATTTAAAAAAATTCTTTAGTAAACAATCAACTAGCCAGATTCACTTAAACTTTTCAAACAAGTTAAGTACGCAGACCACACTTTTATTTTTAACCTGATAACACCAAAACAGGCAGAAAAGGCACCCCTGAACCAGGACAGCGGAGAAGGGGTGAGAGACAAGTGAATGAAGCAACGCCAACCCTCAACTATTTATGAGCAACATCCCTGAATCAATAGATGCCAGTCATCAGAGAGGACACAGAGCGACTACAGCCGGTTCCCCCTTACTCTACACAATTAAAAGAATAACACAGGGCCAAGCCTAACAGAAAAACGGCCCTAGAGTCTCTCCGGCAATGTGTCCAGAAAGCTGGTGAAGAAGAATCTAATAGCTCTGGATTCAAACACGTGGCCGATTATGAGTTCTGCCTCCATTTCAGAGACTGTTGACATTAACAAATACATCCGTTCACTTTCTACAACAGAAAATACCCCTTAGGCAGTATTCTAAGAGCAACCGCTGTCAGAAGTCAAGGATGACGAAGTGTCTAGAATTCACGTCTGAAAAGAAACGTTACGTCCTCAGCCCGAAACTGGAAAGGCTGTTGCACCTTCGGCAGCCTCGCAGTTGCTGGAACGGAAGGGGTGCAGACTGCTGCTGAGTCCGGCCCACAAAGCCCTTTTCTTCACCAGCCGCGCCAGGAAGCATCAGAAGCAGGTGACCCAGCGGCCGGCCGGCCCCCCGCCCGCCGCCGGGGGCCCGCATCCCCAAGCCAGGCCGCTCGCCCGGGAGGGCCCGAGACGCCGCACGCACACAGGCCGCTCTTACCTTCCTACTGGCGCCTCCGAGGGACACCTTGGGCCTCGTTTTGAAATCCCCTTCAAAACTAAACATCTTTACAGCTTATCCCATCTGGGAGGAGCCCCCGACTCTGAGAGCAGCGGGGCGGGCGGGGCGGGCTCCCGGGGGGAGGGGCCTCCTACGGGGAGGGGTCTCCCGCGGGGAGGGGTCTGCCGAGAGGAGGGGTCGCCGGCGGGTAGGACTACGCCGCAGCGGGGAGCGACCCCGAGCCGGAGCCGGAGCCGGAGCCCGAGCCCAAGCCCGCCCCGGGGGCTCTGCCCGCCCGGCCTGCCCTCGGGTGGGGGAGGCGGCGACACTGGGGGGACCGCTCCTCCTCACCTCCCCCCTCATCCACGCCTCCCCACTGCTCCGGCCGAGGCCGAGGGCGCCTGCAGGGCCGCGGACCCCGCACTTGCACCGGGAGCAGCCGCCGGGAGGAAAGATGGCCGCCGGCC